GGACTGTGGAGACGCTGTTTTTTCTTTTTGTTTTAGTGTGGGAGTGATGTGATCTGACATGCACTGTAGGAAGAATAAAATGGCAGTAATGAGAGAAAAGTTGAGATAGGAAATTGGCCAGGAAGTGACAGATAGTGAGAATGTTAATTTAGGTGATGGAAATGGTTTGGAAATGGAGATGGTTGAGATAAGGTGGAGTAGAAGCAACACATTGGATCTTAGGGACGGAAATCAAAGATGCCTAAAAGTTTATGCCTATTGACTGGGATGATGATGATTTCATTAGCAGCTAGGAAAGGAAGAGGACCTGGTTTCAGGAAAAACAGATAATATGAAATAGGGCCACGTCAGGACGAACCGGCAGGGCATCCAGATGCAGATGCTCAGTAAGCAATTACAAAATTTCTCTGAACTCAGTGGTTTGGAATTTTAGATATTTTAGCTGTTAAATTCAATAAGTTTCTCAAACCTCAAGGAATCTCTCTAGTACAATTAGAGGCAAAAGAGGAACCAGTGATCGAATAGCAAAAAGACAGAAGAACGAGAATGATGAAAAAATTGTGCTGGATCTTGGAAATCCTGAAGTCAAGGTCAGTTATCACTCTTAAATCATTCAGAGCAGTCGAGAGTATAGATTGAGAACCAGCAATGGTGTTGGTAAGTTTTGGCAGAGCTGTTTTAGGAAAGTAGCATGGGTGGGAGCCATGGTTTTGGAGATGGAGGGGTAAATGGGTGATAAGAGGAAACCAAAGCTGTGAGAGGACTGGTGGTTGAAGAGAAAACCAAGGGGAAAGAGCCAGCAGAGAGGAAGACTGAAGATTTAATTTAAAAAAAAAAAAAAAGGAGCAAAGTTTGAAAAGAGTGCACAGCAATAAGATTAAATGAATACCCGGAGAAATTAGCCTTAGAAAGGAGAGAAAATTCTTCCTCAGAGTTAAATGGAAGAAAGGGAGGGGAGGCAGAAGAATTTTTAGGATTCTATGTGTGACATTGGAGGAGTTAATGTTTAGTCTCCACTTTTGAGTAAGAAAGGAAATGACACTGCCTGCTTTGAGAGGAGCAGGGAGGAGGGCTCATGAAATGTGGACATAGGGCCCGTCTCCTGCCACCTCTTACAGCATTTATCCTTCATTTAGATCGCTAGAAAAATGGAAGAGAAAGTAATGGTGATTGTAAGGTTGTTCTTTGGTGCAATGCATTTTGTTGCAGCAGGGGTAACCCAAGAGCAAGATGCATAAGGAATAGAGTCTCTTCTATGTGCTGAATGTCTGTTGCACAGTAGCCTGGCTCCTCTAGAAGTACCAGACCTTGTCAGACAGCACTCTGTTTAGAGCATTTACACAACTGTGTGCTGTCGCTTGGGTGTAAAATCTGATTTGATGTAGTTCACAAAAATAGAGACAACTGGCTATTTTTGTGGCTTCAGGTAAATTAAGTTATAACATCTCACATTGAGTTCGAAAATAGCAAAACTGGATTTAGTTTAATGATATAGTCTTATGATTATGGAATATTTGGTTAAAGGGACTTTCAGATACATTCAGAAAATCACATTGATCCCATCATTACTAAAAACAACTCATTAATGTATGGTCTCATTGCATGATGACAGTTAGCTGGACTCACGGAAAAAGATAGGTAAGAAACTTAATTCTCCTGATTAACTATGTCTAAAATAAGAACAGCTATAAATATGCCAATACACACTTTATATGATAAGGATTTTCTACTTCATGCATTTAGGAAGTGATATATGGTGGTTATTCTTGAAAAGACAATTACAAAGAAGAAAGGGGAGACTGTCATTTCTAAGACTAGGAAATGTCATATCAGAGGAATTACAATGAATATGCCTGAATATCTGGGATCATAGAAGCAATGGGATTTAGATTTGGAGGGGAATTTAGGGATAATTTTTCCCAATCCCTTCCTTTTAAGGTTGAGGGATCTGAAGCCTGGAGAGAGTAAATGGCTTACTGAAGGGCACAAACTAGTTAAGCCACAAGTCTTTTGACTCGTGGTTCCAGGTGATTTCCACTCTGCCACAGTGACAAATTTCTACCAGGTCTCTGGAGAATTATTCTTAGGGCCAGAATAGTGAGTGTATGGCACATACTAGGCACTCAATGAATGTTTTCCTAATTGGACAATTGTGTCTCTGTTCTGGTCACTGACACCCCTGGGAGTTAGAGAACCACTCTTCACATGCAGTTTTTTCACTACCTGATAAGGCTATTTAAGCCACAATTACTTTAGAAAATATATAATTTAGAATTTATCATGTATTAACATATTCATTATTTCATAAGAACTTCCCAATAAAGAATCAGGGGTTATTAGTCCGTTATTGCAGTTAATAAAACTAAGGCTCAGTAAATTTATATAACTTGCTCAAGGTCAAGCAATCAGAAAACGGTAGAGTTTGAATGCAACTTTGGTCCTCTGACTCCAGAATTCATGCTTTCTTTGTATTCTACGCTTTCTCTGGATATTTATAACCTATGGGGAAAGAAAAGCAAACCTGTGAGGGAAGAGGTTGGAGGAAGACAGGGGAGGAAGGGGGAGATATCAGAGCTGGGGGGAGGCTCTTGTGGAGTAAGCTGGTGTCAAAAAGTGATCAGATAATAGATGAAGGATTTGTGTCTTTTGGGGAGAGATCTGTTTTCAGGCTACAGGCTACAAAGTCCTGGGTTGTCTCTGAAGAGGAGCGAGCAATGTAGTACAACTTGGAAGGTGTTCACTCCTAAGTGTATTTTAAAGGCATTGGGTGGGAAAATTACATGCATGGGAATCAGGATACCTGGATTTTAGTCCCATTTCTGCTGTTACTTTATCGTCCCCTTGGATCAGGCCCTGGCCCCTTTCTACCTCAGCTTTCTCAGTTCAAAATGAGGTGTGTCCAACTTCGTCGTTCTCCAACATTTTTCTTCCTTTACGTCACCCCCATTGGTAGAAACTGCCAATAATTTGGGAGTGCCTGAAGTGAGACTCAGTAAACTGAGAACACAACCCACATGCTTGCTTGAAAAAAATCTGGATGTCTTTTTTTTTTTAACAAAAAAAAATTTTTCTACACTGTTGACTAATCTTTTATAGTGATTATACATGTTGTGATTGAGGTCTACTAAATTGGGATAGAATTATTCCCCCTGAATACTCTAGAAGAGTAATTCACCACGTTACACCTTGGTTATATCTGATGGAAGTTGCATAGGTGACAAAAAAATGACAACTGATTTCCACTGTATGAACCGTCACTGATAATCACCACTGACCTTGGATTAGTAGATTTTGTCTACAGTAACTATCAATACACTCAAGGGAATTGTTAGTTTATTTCACCATTTTCCTGAGAGAATTTTAGGCCAGAGATTTTTAACTAGAATTGAAAGCTCTCGGGATAGTGAAAGAGTGGAAAAATTCCAAAGATGGTTTTGCTAAGATCAACTGATGTTATTTTATTGTGCAAATGAAGACCAAAGCTATGAACTAAATAACAAACACTAGGTTAAGTTCAGAAGTTTTATGACAGATATTTTCTTTTCACTTGCATATTGCTTTTGTCTACTGGTGAATGTACAGACATTAATTGGAGGATTTTGGCCCTTGACGAGAGATTTAGCTTGAGGTTGAGGTTATATGGAAGGATTTTAGGGGACTTATGAACATTCTAAAACAGTAGAAAAACTTGGAGCTATATGAGTTTGTGGATATATAGTTTCCTCAGCTTCTCACAAGGGACCACAAAAGGTGACAACAAAGGTTAAAAATTAACAAAGGTCAAAGAATGACTATTCTTCATATCCTACAATACTATGTCACCGTTCAGACATTTAGTTGATAAAAATGGAAGTTAAGTTGAATTGTAGCCTAAAATTTTTAATAAACCCTTAACTACATGAGGGTTAATAATTGACCTCTATAAGTGTATGATACCTCTTTTATACTTGATTCTTAAAATAAACAAATAAATAAAACAAAACCCACTCCGGTACAAAACATTGCTGATATAAATTAAAAATAACCTAACTAAATTAAGATATATCATGTTCATGGATGAGAAGACTTGATAATTTTAAGATGTCAACTCCCCAAACTGGTCTATAGATTTAACACAATCTCAATTATAACCCCAGCAGCCTTTTTTTGGTAGAAATTAACAAGTTGTTCCTGAAAGTTATAAGGAGATGCAAAGGACCTAGAATATCCAAAACAATCTTAAATAATAAGTACAAAATTGGAGAACTTATACTACTTGACTTCATGACTTACCATATAGCTATATGGTAATGAAGACAGTGTGATACTCCTTAAGGATAAACAAATAGAACCATGGAACAGAATAGAGCCTAGAAATAGACCCCCATTTATCCTGTCAAAGGCACCAAAACAATCCAATGGGAAAGAAAAGCCTTTTCAATAAGTGATGTGGAATAACTGAATAGCCATATGGGAAGAACTGAACTTCAACCCCTACCTCACACCAAACAAAGATTAATTCAATATGGATCATATACCTAAACATAAGAACTAAAACATAGAGATTTAAGGTGATAAAAACACCATGGATGTTCTCAAAGTCACCACAAATATTTTCCTACTTCTTCAAAATATTGTTTTCCAATTCTCTTTCTTAATTGGTAGCTATACCAAATACCTGGAACACATTTCAGTTCAGTATAGGTGGCTCTGAGATAATCAAGCAATTGCCTAAAAACAGATATAACTTCTACAATAAGCTGAATGTGAAATCCGTGTGGCAAAGACACATTTTCTTATTTCTATATTTATTATTTGAAGGTCAGAGCAAATAATTCACTTACCTTTGGTGGACAAAGTTGCCTAGATTTAGCTCAAGAGGTATCAAAAGAGATTTTATGGTCTTTAATATACTTTTATTATACAGATGAAAGAGTCTATATCTTCTCCTACTTCCAAAAGTAAAAAATAAAACGTAACAACAACAAAAACAGTGAAACATGCAACACAAAACCATTTACCGGAGTCCATAGAGAACTGTTCCATCAGGGTGTAGTCGGATCATTCGATTTTTCACTGTAACCCCATGCACAAATGATTTCTTGTCATTCAGAAAGTAGGTGTCTGGTACCCAGAGTTGGTCAGCTACTCTGTTGTCTAGCGTGAGGTTTAATGGGATTCCAGAATAAGAAAGCCTTTTGTCTTTCCAAGACTGCTGGAAATACATGGTGAGTGTATAATCCTGTGAAATAAAGGAAACCAAAAGGGAATTTTACTATCATCATCATCATCATCTAATGCTTTTTGTTAAGAAAGTGATAGTACGTGGTATTTGGATGCCAAGAGACCCACCATCCTACTGTCCCCTAAGAAGTTACCTTTGAATATATTGAAATTTGCACTTCCAAGTATAGGGCAACCAATAGGTTAGAAGAATTAGAGCATTAATTGATGCATGCACAAGCATTTCTACTGATATAGAGTAAATCCAGTTAATTGAATTTTGAAGTTTGAAGTGGGGAAGTTCATAGAGGGAAATTGTACTGAGAGATCCATGTTCACAAAAATCTATCTCTGAATATTATATTTATGGTATTATTTTGGAGGAGAGCGTTTCCTCAAAAATAACTAAAATTGGATGCACTCAAAAGGGGAGGGTGTTTTCCAAAATGCAAATGTCTTTTGAATGAATACTCCTGTTTGCCTTATAAAGGTCACCAGTTACCATTACCTGGATCTCTCTAGTAAATTACAACTTGGCTATCAATCCCGAAAAGCAGTTTATAAAGCACATTTGGATGGAGATGTTTATCTGACCTGAGAACTGACATCAGTGGTGGAACTGCTCAGCATCTTTCCTCATTCCTGCTTTGTTTCAGGCATTGGTTTGAGTTCAGAGTTGGGTTTGTACTTGAGTTTGTTTCCTACTGCTTGTAAAAGCTACATTAACGATGTCCCTTTGCACTTTTCTTTCTACCCAGATTGCCCCTGGCAGTGACTGACTGGAAGATTTGGGCTCAATAAATGGATCTATGTTACAGGAGAGGAACGGTGGTGATTATCTTAGAGATTTAGTTGTCTGTTTTTAAAGAACTCCATTAATAAAAAGTGTAATTGTCCATTGAAAAAGTGGTAGCAGTAAAATCGTTGTTTTTAAGATATGGGTCCCAATATAATAAAGACAGAAGGATCACTTTTTCTTTTAAAGGATATTTATCTGTCAATGGTGACTCTGTGAATGCTTTAGCAGCAGTTAAGAAAATATTGTATAACACCAGCACAGTGTCTGTGTACTGCCATTGTTATATATACCACTAGCTGAGAAACGTTAACTCAGATCATACCTTACATCTGGGCAAACTGCACTGTATCTAAATCCCTATATGGATATTTATGCATTTCTGAAAAACCCTGAAAGATAGGGCAGTATTTGTTCTGGACAATGAGTTCCAGCATCCTTTAACCATATTCAAGAATGCTTACAGTGTTTACTCAGAAACCATCTTGCAATAATTCAAAGCCATTCTTTCTCATTCAATGACAAGAACATTTGCTCTTTGCTATGAATCACACAATATCCCTTTTAAAGGTCTAAAACCTCCTTCCACCTTACCTTCCCTTAATAAAAAAAAAGAGAATCCACAAGGTTACATACAATTCTCCTCTCAGTTGCTACCATTTCCATTTATAGCTCTTCAAGTTCTCAACATTATTATCTTTTTTGGAGGAAAATGAACGGGACAAATTCTGGGCCTTAGATTCCAAAATACCTTGATTCCAAGCTCAACCACATGTAGAGCTATGTAATCATGAGCAACTAACTAACCCCCTCATTCCTCAGATGCTTCACCTCTAAAATGAAAATAGTAGCATTTTATTGGCTTATTGTGAGCGTTAGTTAGGAAAATTATGGCGAAGGTACTTTAGAAACGGTAACATGCTAAACAAATATAATATCTTCTTTATAATATATTATGTTCATTGTGATTTAAAGACTAATACATCCAAATTACTTGAAGTTTACATACCATTTTCATCATCTTTTCTATTTTTAAAAGATGTTTGTGAAAGAACTTTAGGCAGAAGGACCCCACTGGCCACAAAAATAAGCAGTTGTTTGTGATCAATTGTAAGTCTTGGTGTTGGGCTCTTGTTTGTAATTTAGCCAATGTGAGAAAATTAATAACTAGTCAAAGATATGTTATTGTAAACTTTGCCATGGGGGTCAGCACAATCAGCAATGGATACGTGTTTCAGTACTCATGCTGAATATTCATTAGCTTCCAGATTCTGAGGAGTGCTACCTGGGATTTCCTCCTAATGAGACCGTGGGGCGAAATCTGTACTTCATATTCTCCTCAACAAAGTTCTAATGTGGAATGGGAAAAAATTTATTATTGTAAAGTGTAAAGGGTTATAATGGCAAAATAATACTCAAACAATAAATGCAGTAATTAAAATATGAGTTTTTGGTAAGTAAACAATGGAGAGTAGAAAGGAGAAACTAGTGCAAACGTGAGTAATCTCTTCACAGACTTAATGTGTATGTGTGTGTCTGTGTGTGTGTGTGTGTAGACTTTTCCCCTTCTCTTTCCGGAAACTGTTTTGTTTCCTGGAGAGAGAGAACTACACGTACAGAGAGATCTTTGCTCTACACAACTCACCCTGTTTCAATAAATATTGACTAAAAATCACATCTTCATTCTAAATTAAACCAGTAAGTTATCCTATTTGCAATAAGAAGTAATTAAGTGAAAATTTATGTATGCTAGGATGTTACATTTGGAAGTGAGTGACTTGGGATAAATACCCTTCAGAACTTTTCTTTTTATGCATTTCTAGGGTTATTATCCTAATCTAGGAACTGATTCTATGAGAAATGGAAATATGGACATATGAGATTGAAAACCTTAATAAAAACTTTTTGAAGATAATAATTGGGTGATAATGATGAATTATGGAAAGACCCAAAACACAGCAATATCTCCTTTTCTGTAGTATCTACATTATACCACGTGTGGCAATAATCTCTTTCTCCTGGAGAGAGCTCTGTGCTCTGTGGTTTTTGTAACTATTCGTATCTATTATCACATTTTGTTCTCACAACCTTGTGAGATAGGCAAATTCACTATGAGAGAATTTATGATTTACATATCTGAGAGACTATTTATTATATTCTAAATAAATTATTCTATCTGCATCTTAATGTAAATATTAACAGTGCTATCTTAATATAATAAAGCCTATGATGTCATTTTGGGTTTTCCTAGTTTTAGATGGAAAAGGCTTAAATTGCGGTATTTTGTTCTCTCATACAAGAGATTTTCTATTAATTTTTCATTAGTTCAAAGTGCAAGCACTCCAGGCAGGATGGAAAATTTTTCAGAAAGAAATTAAAGGTATTAATTTAAATTTAAAGTGGCCAAGAACACTAAAATCATTTTTTGTCCAGGTGTGTTTACAAGTGTTCAGTCAGCTTTCTCAAGTGTGCAAGCAAGCTACTCCTTGAGAGGAAGTGCAGCATATTTAGAAACTATGGGCCGTAGGGGACTCTGACACTGAGGCAAATTAATGGGATTAATGGGTGTGAGATTGCTAATGAAATTGGTCAGGCTAATTCAGGCATGAGAGAATTTGGTTCACTGAGGAAAAGCAAGATAGACGATACCAAATCAGTAGTGCTCAATTAAACTCCAAAATAACATACTTTTTAAATCTAAAAACGTTTAAAAGAGTAAGAAAACATTTATAATAAATAAAAGTCATTCTTTTGGAGAATAAAAGTAACATTCTTTTTAGACTGGTAGTTTTAAACTCAGGGTGACTTTGCCCCCCAGGGGACATTTAGCAATGTCTGGAGACAGTTTTGGTTGTCACAACTGGGAGTAATGGTGGTGAGCTACTAGCATCTGCGAGAGGAGGCCAAGGATGCTCCCCAGCATAAAGCACTGCACAGCACAGCCCCCACGACAAAGAACTATGTGGCTCAAAATGTCAGTGGTGCCAAGGTTAAGAAACTCTGCCTTAGATAAAAAGATCTTTATTTTGGATCAGTAAAATATTTCAAAATCTTTTATCATTATTTATCATGAAAAATATCTATATTAACATATCTACCCCAAGCTTTTAACATATCCTTTAAAACTTTGTGCTGGAGGATACTGGCATTAAATGGTTTATAATTTGCTACTTTACCATAAGAAATCATTTAATAAAAATCCATTAATCACCTAGCATCGGAATAGGGAAAAGAGTTATGTATTTTAGGTAAACATACTAAGGTATGCTTTTTACCAGAACGAGCTCGAAGAAGACTTTAGAGAGGGCTGGAGAAGTGAGGGTCTCTTATTAGCCGCCTCCATGACCAGCACACATTTCAGACTAATTTGTTAGTGAAGAGACAAAATATTGCTTTAATGTCTAGTAATTTTGCATCGACTTGGAAGGATCATATAAGCAATCCCTCCTTGTCAAACTGTTCTCAAGAAAGTATATATATACATACATGCACACACACACATATATATTTTTTGAAAGAACCAAGGCTCTTGCACACATTTGTATTTTATCTCTCAGAAATTTGAATACGCATTATAAGAAGTCCCAAGCCCAAGTCCCTGCTCCCTGTAAAACGCTCGTGCCCTTTTAATTGAACTGTGAGATCTGCTCTTTCCAAAGGCTGCTTTCCCCAAAGGCTGACTGCAGTAGAGCTGTGAATCATTGCTCATCACCTCCACAGTCCCTTCTGTGATGGAAACTGCCCTGCCTATAGCCCCTGCTGATTGAGCACGGCCACGTTCTCTATCACACGATGCTGCCCTCCTCCCACCTTGGAAACAAAGAGTAGGTATTTAATTTAAGAGCAGCTGATACACAGGAAGGTAATAAACCTGTACCTGTCTTAAAAAGATGAGATTCACTGATTGGCGTCCTCTCCTAGAAATTTGCTATTGAATAAAGCATCTGAGACAGGAGCTGAAGGACCAAGTTCGAAGGTCATGACACAGAACGAGGGCTGCACTGCTATTATGAGGTTATGAGTGAGGGGAGACTATGAATGAAAAGAGGAAGCTAGCCTTCAGAAGAAGAAGGAAAATGGAGAAAAATGCTGAATATAGCCATAAGAGGAAGAGTCTGACGTTGTTAGAGTATGAACCACCAAGGTCACGAAGACTTTCTATTTCTGTTTCTAGTTCTTGTGAGGTCTGGATATGTTCAATATTTTGGCCCCTAATGAACCCT